TATATTGTGGGATATTGCAAATGCTGAGTGGGGGAAGCCACGCATCCAGGAAAGCAGATGAGGCTTGCAGGATGGACTGTGGTGGGCAGGTGGGACAGGCAGGTCCCTTGGTCCCACTTGGTGGCAGGGCCATAAACACTGGTCTTCAAGCTTCTGGATGCAGACAGCGCCAGTCAGCAAGGCAGGGCTCCCTGCGTAATGCCCCATTACAGACAGACACACCTTCTTAAATAGCTGGAAGTGCTCAATTTGTACCTCTAAATCATCTAGACAGCAAGACAGGCAGCAGCATCAGCCAAACAGTAATTGAATGGGAAGGAAGTAATTGAAGGTAAAAGCCGTCCTTGTGACTAACTGCAAATGGAAAAGTGGGCGGAGGGAGTGGAGAGCAAGAGGGTGCGGATGGAAATCGGGCTATACAAGTTCAAAGCAAGAATGTGCACATAGGCGTCCCGCAGAGCAACTTCTGCCAACTTTAAGACCTATGTTTTCAGCAGCGTAAACTTCCTTGGTTACTTACTTAGTTGTGGTAGCTGGCATATTAATAACTGTTAAATGTGCCGCAGTCCCATCCTGTAAGAGAGCAATAAAGAAAAAGCAGGCTAATTTGTGCAGACTCATTTGTGTGGATCATACGCTGACTTGGCCAAGAAAACACTGCATATAACTCAGGTTATGTGCTATGACTTTATACTTTTAAATCTTCTCAATACATCTTCCATGAAAATCTGGCTGCAAATGAGAGTCCAAGAATATAAGCCAGACACATTAAGGACAAATTAAGGACATTAAGGATAACAGAAAGTCCACAGCAAGTGGACATAAGAGGAGGAGGGAAACGATACATGCAGAGATGTCAGCTAGCCATGTTCAAAACTGATGGGCAAGCTATCAAAGTTGGCGCTGCTTTGACCAGACATCTCTTCTACCCTATATTATTCTATGCCTGAGAACAGCATATGGGAAAAAATGTTAAATAAGAAGGAACTGGAATCTCATGGTTTTATTCATTTCTCTTCCATCCTTGAGTCTGAATCCCTTCATGCTCCACTTGGGCTGCTCTGGGGCAAACATAAGCCTACGCTGTGATGTTATATATGTACAGACACTCAGGGTATGAGGACTCCAAACTTCAATCAGTGATAAACTTTAATTCCTTCTTAACAAAGGGTCAGGTGCCTTTTAATTAACAGAGGAAGAGCCACAGTTATTTGGAGTCCTGAATAACTATGAAGAAAAGGGAGAGGTTACTACCTGACATTACAGTGCAAAAGCACAGTCTTATGAAAAGGAGCACAGGCATACGTTAAATGACAGCAGCTACTGGACCTGCACATATGTGGGCTTTTCCAAGGTGTGTTTTTGTGCTGGCCAACATATATCTGGGAAAAGAATTTTTGTTCTGAATTCAGTCTTAACTCCTGTAACGCTGCCTATAACAGAGAGTTTAGATTTCTTTACGCCTGTGTTGGAAAAGGAAATGCCTTTTCAGGAGCATCTGTTCGGGCTGCGTGCCAGCTTGTAACACCAGCGCTCAGCATTTCCCAGGCTGCGTGCTCCCAGCAGCCCCAGCGCACACTCCTCTGGCACAGCCACAAGGGCAAAGCAGAGATTAGAGCTGAGCACAGGCAGAAATATTTGCCGACTGCTGTCATGAAGGCTTAAGATGCCTTCAAACACCTCGGGCTCTCAATTAGTGTGAATCAGCACTGCATCGACTCCATTGAGCACTGGGTATCTGCGGCAGCCGAGAATCTGTCCTGTAAAGGTACCTACCTATTTTTTTCTTAAAAAAGCCAGAACAAACAGTTTCACGTTAGCAAAACAACTTTTGGTTCAAGGTTCAGCCAGTGTAGCAAAATCTCAGTTTCTACATACATGGCTCTGCTTTTGAGAGCTGCTTCCAACATTGATATGTGCTAAAGATGGCACCAGTTAGCACTTCTGATCGCACACCGTGGATGCTCCCAATGCCTTATTTCAGGATATTTAAATATGAGATGTTCAGAACACCTCCATTTGCATGGTTAAGTAGCTTATTGGCATGTAAATACCTACCGCAAAGCGTGCCAAAATCATGACATATCGGTAAATCTCAGACCAGTTCCTGATACCTGCAAAAAAGAAAAAAATCACCCAACCTAAAGTTAACCATTGCTGGAAAAAATGAAATAATGGTACCTGACTTATTACCTTTGAGTAAAGAAATTCTCCAGTAATTGACAACAGGCTAAGTGTGTCCCCAAAACAATTATGGAATTGTTCCTCTTTTCCCATTAGTTCAAGGCCTAATGGAAAGGGGAACAGAGTCATACGTCAAGTCAGACTGACAACAGGTCTACATACCGGCCAAATCCAGCAAAATGTCACAAAAAGCATTTTAACAGCTTCAAATGTGTCAATGCCTTTGCAGCAGCTTACCAGACATGAATGGACCAAATTCTCTCTATCATGAATCTCTGCACTTGCCTGGCCCAGCAGTGAGCTTATATCCTATCTCCCCCTTAAACAGGAATATTGCTGCCTCGAGGAGCATCAACCTTTAATGAGGTGAAGAGAGGAAGGTGAGATTTGTGGTTCAGGGAGACTTCATGCCTACTTGGGTCTAGGTACTCTGGTACCTATCCTTTGATGGATAACAAGGATAGAAGGAGCTCTTTGCCCAGATAGGCTCCCAGCACTTGGAAAGGCAAACTGTTTGGTCCTCAGCCCCTGTGCCACAGTTGCTCAGTTTTAGGGACTATAAGAGCAAGAGGGAGTGATCCCAGGACTGGGGGTGTCTCAGAAACGAGCCGTCATGTTCATTCTTCATTTAGAAACTGTACCTGCGAGGCCTCAATTCAGAGCGTTACGACATGTCAAGTTTAGCCATAAAAATGGTATTTCCTCTGAAACATCTTAACTTCATGCCCAGTCATGAAACTGGTTATTTTTAAAGCTAATTTTTAGTCCCACTGTCCTGTCAGTACCATCTATAGTGAAGGTGGCCAAGTGAGTGAACTGTTTCTGGTGCTGTTACCGTAAGAGTGGCTCCGAACGCCTTTGAGGGAAAGTTCAGTTTTCTCATGATTTTCTATTTCAATTTCTCCAACAGACTGGCCCCACTGCTCATGTCGGAAATGTTGTTCCCTTTGTCTGGGAGAAAGAAGAGAGTGAATCGACACAAACAAAATCAACAAGGCAAAATCAAGGTGGCCCTAATGCCAATCTGATAAACTTATATCCCAAAATGAAGGAGAGATTTCAGAGCATCTGCATCATGGCTATGCCAGATTTTACACGTTAGCAACCACTTTTACATTTCCCAGTTATTGCTACATAACATCTGTAAGACACCTGAGAATGAAACAGCAGCAGATTCCCACCCTGGCAGACTATAAAAATGCCCTTTTTTTGAAAAAAATGCTGTACCACCAAAGAGTTGCTGCTTAGAAGTCAGCAGATAGGACCAAAGACAACACGCTGTTGATATATATATTTTCTGCTTGTATTAAACAACACACTATTGATACTCATATTTTGTTCCTGTATTTTCAGCTCTCCCAAGCCTGTATAGTAATTAAAACGCCCACTTTAGCCCTTCTTTCACACGATTATATTTGATCCTTTGCTTAGATACACCTGCACCATTGGTTTTGGAAGAAGCCTAAATCAGGTTGTTAGCAATGAAAAAAAGACAGAATACAAAATATTCCTAATGCTCAAGGTTTTACAGACCAAAACTGTGGGCAGGTCCCTCCACCCACATATCAGGAAGATCCTGTCCATGTGCAGGATCCTCCTTAGAGGCTGCCAGGTCTGATGTAGTAATGAAACCAGGAGACACCTGACAGGAGCCATGTCCTTTATTAGCTCACTTCAAATTAAATCCACCTTTTAAAATCACCTAAACCAGCACAGGACAGACCCTGAAGAGAAAAATTACTATTAACCCCAGAAGAAATTAATTTCGCCTCTCACTTTTTGACCCTCTGGAAGAACTCAATGGTCCATGGTTCCTGGGCAAAAGCGCGTGCAAACGTGCTGGGGTGACTGTCGACACTGAAGTTAAAGACTTCGGTGAAGTTCTCCCAACTAGGAGAAGAGGGGAAAGAAATAAAAGACATTAATAGCTTTCAGGTCATACCAGGCTAAGCTGTGCACTTGCTACTCTGACAATGGCAATCTTTGTATTTTATCATTATTGGAAAATTCTGATTTTCATCATTTTATATACGTTACTCCTTTTCAAGGAAGCAAACAAAACGAAACCAAGAAGAGCAACAACGGCCTGCAAGAGTCAACAGATTACCTAGGAAGGGAAGCTGGCAGGGCAGAGCCGCAAGGGAAAGCACGCTGCTTTCTCTCACGTAGTCTGTTCAGAGGTACAACGGCAGCACTACTCCAGAAATGCTGTGCTACTTGGACAGCAAATCCTTTTTTATCAGGCAAATCGAGTCCATAAACGGAAAGCAGAGGCAAGGGCTTCCTGCGTTACTTTGTGCACATGACCCTTTGAAAACAGTAACCAAATCTCTAACCGTGAACTCACTACACATCCCAAAGCAAGAGTGAAATGCTCTTACTGGAAGGAGAATTTAACTGGTACAAGTTCGCCTTCCTCTTCACTCCACTGCTGTCGGTAGGGTCCTTTTCTGTAAGGCAAAGCACTACAATTTTGTATCACTCCTAAACAAACAGAAAACGTTTCTTGCGTGTTTGGAAGTGGATGCAGTAAGAGACTGCAGAAGAATGACACTACTGTGTGCTAAGGTAGAATATTAATTCTATATTACAACCCTACACCGGACACAGATATTACTAGCTGTATTTTCATTCCTTAAAAAAACAACGCGTCTTATTGCTCCCAAATAGCTTCTAGTTAAATATGTTTCCAGATGGTGTTGAAAAAGCCTTGGTCTTAAGTGTAGATAAATGAAACTAGACAGTGCTGCAATACCTGAGTAATCCATCGAAACTGATTTTCCAGCGTGTTTGCGGCTCTATGTATTCAATAGTGAGCCCTCCTCCACTCCAAATCTCTTCAGATTCATCACTCACCATCATGTTTGGATGCTGTGGGTGCTAAAAAGACATGTAAGGGAAACATTTGCTTAATTCCATTGCGGGGATGCAACGCGGGTGAATTCCTGCTCTGATGGTCCTTTGCAGGAGGAACATTTGGTTGAACTGGCTGTTCAGTTCTACCTGATTCTGGTAATCGGATGGTTAGAGAAGGAAAATTGCATCTAAGACACCTGAGTTATAAGACAATATATTATTGTTTCAGATAATACAGCTGAATTACTTGTGTGAAGGGAGGTCACTGCAAGAGCTCAGCTCCTTACGCTAGTGACACTGTCAAGTTTACAGCCACACTGAAGCAGGGCTTTGGGGGTACATTTATTTCTAGACTGAATTTGATGAACCTCTAAAATGATTTAAATTTCTAGTGTAGGCAAGCTCCCAAAACTCTTCAGCTGCCCTCTGAAAAACATGTCGTTTCCTAAAGCTGCCGCCTTTCTAAAAGAGAGCTTATGCCTGTTGCTGTAGGGAAGGATCTAAGAAGGTCCTGAACTTGGCTGGCAGTTCTAAATGGCAAAGCCACAAAGCAGTATCATTGTGCTAAATATTACCAGAAAACCAAATAATGCACATCCATCTTCTCTGTTGTGGCTTTCTGCAAACAGGACATCTCCTGCTTTTTCTGCTCGTGACTACTTAGCAAAACAGATTTGTGAACATAAGGATAGTTAGCTGAGTGCAAAGGGATTTATGTCAGATCTTCCCTCCTTCTTTACTACATAGTCAGCTATTAAAATATATATATAAATATTATGATAATATATGATTCTATAAATAATATAAAATAAATATCATTAATACTGATTAATTTAAATATATTATTAATACTGTCTTTCTTTCAGCAAGAATGAAGCAGATGCACATACAAGTCTCTAAAAGCTTTCCTTTCTCTTTGAAAAGAGGCAATTCCACAATGGTTTTTATAGCATTCAGTCATTAAAAAAAGGAAAAAAAATCAACCATAACCATACAAGGTAACTGTTAGCCACATGCGGCACGTTATCAGAAAGACTGAATGCTCAGATTCTTCCTGGGAGACTTACCAAGACATTTTTTAGAAACAATGCTATGTTTTGTGCACATCATGAGAAAAAGGGAACGAGTGTCAGACACCTACTCAAAAAATTAGGCATAACCAGTAATCCAGCCAGTTCTACCACTGTCTGCAGTGACAGCACCAATGTCTTGCTGGTAGGATATTCACGTAGTGAAGGTGCAGAGAGCATTAATTTTTGCTTGGGATCCTAACACAGGTTCAAGATAGGAGTTAAGCACTGCTCTTGAATGTCATCCCACATCCACCACTTACTTCAAACTCTCCTATTCCATCCACCCTCAGGAAGAGCCACATCTCACAGATCCCGTTAGGACGCTTGGCAAGGCGAGCAATCACGAAGGTCTTGTCGGTCTCGGCAAAGCCGGTGAAGTAAACCGAGTCAAGCGCCTAGGGAAAGGGAAAGGGGTTTCAGCTCCGGGTGGAGGCAGGAAAGGAGTGGGAGAAGGTGAGCAATTTGTTTTCCGTAGGTTTCTTCTCAGGAATGCTCAAGCGCCTAGGGAAAGGGAAAGGGGTTTCAGCTCCGGGTGGAGGCAGGAAAGGAGTGGGAGAAGGTGAGCAATTTGTTTTCCGTAGGTTTCTTCTCAGGCATGCCATTTTACTTTCACTTTTTATATTTAATAGCAGGCACGCCAGCAAACAGACGGAGTTTTGCTAGCAGCAGTGAAGCCTCATTCATACGACAGGACAGTCCCTGTGCTCAGAAAAGGTTTAGTTAATCTGGCACACAACACTCACAGCCTTCATTGACACAAAAGCATTTTTCCTTTCTTGTTTGCCCATTTGCTCATCAGGGCAGACACAGAAAGCAGAGAGGGAGCAGATGAGAAGCTGCTTTAGAGAGGGAACGTAATTCTTGCATGATAGCCACGGACAAGGTAAAATATTGTCCTGAATTAAGATGATTATTTTGCAACGAGAAGTTCCCTTGACCAAAATCCTTATGAAATGTGTCCTCAAAAAGAGTGTCTGCAAGGAAGAAACTGAGCCACAAACATGCTGTTTCCCCATCTAGCTCCAAATTGTCCGCAGGACAACTTATACTTAGGGGAAACATGGAACTAAAAAGGAAAAAGGAAGAGAAAGAAAGTCAGTCATAGGAAACCCAGCACTTTACTAACATGATCAGCAGCTGGGCTGGTGTAGGGCCGGTTAACATCTCAAATCTCAAAAACTGTTAGGCACGGAAGTCCACATCTTCAAATTCAGATGTATATTTTCACCTATTTGTGCAGAACTCACTCAAAGTGAAGTTTTAAAAGCTGGAACATGGAAATTAAGATTTAGGTATGCATTTTTGGGCACGGATGAAGTTCTGCTTCTGAAAAATTATTCATCCTAAAACACAAACAAATACTAAAATCAGATGATTATTGCCTTTGTGTGTACAGATAAGGGGGGATTTTGAGGGCACAGTGTCTGGAAATACACACCAAGTGAGCCTACTGGATGCCAATGCAAAAATTCAGAGACATCATTTCTGGCAGTATTTTCCAGATCAGGTTTTAGATCTCTCTTGTAAGTGTTGCTCCAGTGCTGCTGCTTGAGGGAGCAGCGAGGAAATCACAGACCCCTTGGCTATACCTCAAACCACCCTGGATGGCAGTTCGGTTTGGAAGACGGTGTCACTCCTGCCCTGTCAAATTCGGTCGAGATTGGCAAAACACTTCAAAACGCTCCCAGCAGCACCTTAATTAGCAGAAAGGAAAAGCTAGGGAAAACAACTTCTTTTTTTAAAGGCTAAGCAGAAGCCTCAAAGCATTTTTTAAATAATATGACTTCAGGATTCCCAGAAGGCTCCAGGAAATGTTAGCAAGAAGTTGATTTTTCACAAAAATGACTTAGGATCTGAAATCTCAGCTGGCATCTGCAAGGCGAATCTTGATGAGGCAAGGAAAACGGAGGGAAATCCTGTCTTATCAGCCTTTCTGCTTCCCCCCTCACCAAATAATAGAGCAAAGCCCACCCGAATCTCCCTGGCAGGCACAGTGAGTGTTTTGACAGGATGCTACATGAACACAGGCAAGGTACAGGTTGTAGACAGAGGGTTTATTATTTATTAAGCAGACAAATACACCTGGAAAACTAGATTCAATTCACCAAGTGTGCAAAAAGAAAAGGTTTCTGTGTCCCATAGTGTGCCTGCTTTTTGCCTTTGATATCAGCTGGTCTGATTTGAGGGAATCCTTTTCCCTGCAAGGGACAGCCCAGTGACATCCCCACCCTGCCCTCCCTGGGATGTGTTGAAGGCGGAGGGGGAAAAGACGTGGGTCCCGAGGCTTCAGGGGGCAGGCGGTGGCGGGTGCCAGGCACCAGGATGCAGGGGATGGGGGTCCCTGAGGGATGCAGGTCCCAGGGTGGGATGCAAGGTGCTGGGGTGCAGGGGATGCAGAGGGGTGCAGGTCCCTGAGGGATGCAGGTCCGAGGGGAGATGCAGGGTGGTGGGGTGCCGGGGATGCAGAGGGGTGCAGGTCCCTGAGGGATGTGGGTTCTGCAAAGGGAGGCGGTGTGGGTCCCGGGGGATGTGGGTCCAAGGGGAATGGGTGTTGTGGGGGAACGTGGGTCCCAGGG